CTGGATATTCATTATAGTCTGGAGCCTTGAACATTCTAATTTCTATTGCGTTCACCCTAACACACAGGTGTTTGGGAGAGGAATGGAATGAACTAAGAGATAAAGCCTGACCAGTACTGAAAGCCTGAGCATTCTCTTTTGATAAAAATTTACCCCCTTGAATGTTATGTTTTTTAAAGTACCCAGAATGGCAGAATGGTATTTCAAAGATGGGTTTGATTACAAATACTTGGTACATTTCTTCCCAAGCTGTCACTAATTTGTTTGCTAAAACCTAAAATGTGGTTTTCCTTTCTCCAAAGTAATCTACATTCTTTTCTTCCAGCCGACCCCTTGGTGGGAAGTATTGCCACTCAGTACATGACCAACAGAGCAGAACATGACAGAATGGCCAGACAGTGGACCAAGAGATACGCTACNGCAATGATGGTGCCAACTTGGGCCAGTGAAGCAACGTTCTCCACAACTAGGCTGAAGAACAAAAGGGCAGCAACTTGTCTGTTCCCCTTCCCCCAATTCTCCAGCACTGTTCCCATCCCCACAATTCCCCAATAAAAATCTTAAAAAAAAAAAAAAAATTGAGGGAGACAGAAGGCTGGTACAGGCATACGCTGCTGACCTGAGGGTTAATCTGGTTAGTCATTTTATAGAGAAATGGGTGTGGTGCTTGAACAGACCTTTCCCTGAACAATCTCATGTAAAGATTCTCCTCGACAATGACCTGAGAGTTGTAAACTTTTGCCCTCACCTCCCACCCCCCAAAATGGGACCGTCTACCCGCCTTCTAGACCTGTAGATCCTAACTTTTCCATTGAGAACGTGGAAGAAAAAAACCACAAGTTTTGTAGGTGCCTATATCATAATTTTTGTTGTCTGATTAAGAAAATGAATATGACTAGAAGCTACATGAATTCATCTAATAACAGCTTTAAAGAGTCTCTCAAGTTTATTCAGGCAGCAGTGGTCTTCCCAGTGGGTTCTCAGACCCTTCACAGTAATTCCCAAGCCCCCTGGTTGAAGACCCACAGGTTAGGGACCCACACTCTTGAGTCTTGTCCAGGGCTTCTATTTCCTGCTTTATGATTTCAACACTATTTGATGTTATTTCACTCAAGAGTTTTTATTCTTATAACCCACCTTTATTCTCCATTTTGACTAACAGAAGTGTGGTACATTTTTTCTTGGTGGTTATTACATAGTTATGTTTATGTTGTGTGCTTTATTCCTTAACTCCAACTTTCAGAAAAGTTTACACACAAACTGAAAGCTAATTACAAACAAGAAGTGATCTTGACTTGGATTTCTAGGTATATCACAGGTGACAAGCTGTAAAATGTTAGCTTATGGTCTAAGCTGGTAGTTCTACTTCCAGTAATCTGTACCGGTGGTTCCCGAATGCAAGCTTCCTGCTTAACGATCACCAGGGGGTCTTTAAAAGTAAAATACAGATTCTTGGGTCTCCCTCTGGACATTGTTAACTCAGTAGGCCTGGGATGAGGGGTCAGAACCTTTCATTTTTAAAGTTCTGTAGATTATTTTGATGAACTATGAAATTTGGAAACCACCAATTTTCTGTACAATCTGTAAAATCTGCTTGCAATGGCATATTGTTAAACCTTCTTTGGTCTTTTATCTTTTTTTCTATACTAGGGGGCCAGGAGAATTGGGCCCCTGGCAACATGACACCTCTAGGGTTAGACTGGCTTTACTTGTTTGTTTTTTTTTCTGGGTCTTTTTTTTAGTATCACCAAGCTGACTGAGGAAAAATATATGGTACTGACCACTAGAGTTTTTGTTTCGGCAGCTTGGAATGCTGCCAGTACTGGGTTTTAGATGGCCTGGCATCTCTTCTTGGCCTTGGTTCCTCAAAGAAGAGGGGTTTAGAGTAACCTTTTGCCTTTAAGTCTTAGATATCATGAACTAGATAAGAGGATAGTTCATCTTTTTATCATCTTTTTGTCTGTGTAGTGTTGTCTTCTGCTTAGTCCACTTTTCAGTCGACTCCAGCCTGGTAACCAGCTGTTAACAGCTGTATCAGCCAGTGTCTGGATTTTCTGCCCAAGTACATACGCTACATGCAAACACGGCAGGGAGGCCGACTTCCGATGACCAAGGACCAGGTCTGACCTCAGGATGTGAAGCAGTGATCAGATCAGGCTAGTGTCCTTTCACTCGTGAGGCCACTGCATGTTCCTAGAGGGAGAGGGCTGATTAAGAGCTCTCCCTATATCCCACCTTGTGAAAATTATGGTCGGATGTCATGTAAACATAGGAAGCTACCTTTGTTTTTAAACTCAAAGATGGTCTCTGCGTATGACTTCATATTAGAGACAGTGTTAAACGATCTCTCCCTCCTTCCATATATTTTATCCAGTCTAAAACAAGTGTTTTATAGTTCTTGGGAATACCTATCACAGGGCGTTATTAAAGAGCCATACTATTTGACCAGTAGGAATAATTAGTACCCGTGGTGATCACTGCGTTTAATGAGAGACTCCTGTGGTCTGTGACTCTGAGAGGTGTTGTTCCTTCTGCCTTCCCGCTCCCCCGTTGTAATTCTCAAAACACTCCTGTTGTAGGCGGTGCCTCCTGGTCGGTTTGTGCCACCTCTTCCCACTTGTCTCCCTGTTCTTTCATCCATATTTTCTCCCTTCTTTTTTTGCCATACTTCTGATTGCTCAGCTTTTGATTCTTTCTGGTTTTCTTGTGTATGCTTGTTCCCCTAACCTCTGTTTCTGTTACTTCTTCCACTCCAAAATTTCAGACTGAAAGAAGAAAAAAACCAATGGTGGGTTTGAAGGAAGTACAGTGTAGGGCCCCAGGTAGGTAGGTGTTTTGTTTGTTTTTTTCTCCCCTCTCCCTTTCTCTTCATCTCCTCTTTCTCTTAGATTTTTTTTTTTTTTTTTTTTTAGCTGAGCCATCCTGCCACCTTTTGGCAGCTCAGTAGCAGCTCGGGCCGGGCATCAAACCGCTGTTGCTCAGAGCTCACACTCTTGAGCGGGCTCTTAACCAACTGAGCCGCTCGGCCGGCCCTTCCTCTTTCTCTTAAATGAGGGAATCTTACCTTATCTCTAATCAGTTAGCAGAGGGCATGTTAAAGACAAGGCAGTTTCGTCTTGTTCATTATCAAAACCCCTGACATTGAGCACTCCAACAACATTGGCATTCAAGAAATGTTTGAGGGCCAGCCGAGTGGCTCAGTTGGTTAAGAGTTGGCTTAAGAGCACGAGCTCTGAGCAACAGGGCCGCTGGTTCAATTCCCACATGGGCCAGTGATGCTGCGCCCGAGCTGAGCTGCTGCTGAGCTGCCAGCAGGTGGCAGGAGGGCTCAGCTGGTGTGACAACACTGCCTGTTTGATGGTGGGCTACGTCCGCCCGCAACTAAGACTGAACTTGGCACCTTGAGCTGAGCTGTCTCCCAAATGGCTCAGTGGATAGAGCGTGTGCTCTTAACAACAAGGCTACTGGTTTGACTCCCGCATGGGATGGTGGCTATGCCCACCCACAACTAAGATTGAACACAGCACCTTGAGCTTAGAGGCCATGAGCTGCCGATGGGTATCCAGATGGCGACTGGCACCCTCCACAACGAAGATTGAAGGACAACAACTTGGCCAGTCCCCTTCCCCAATTCCCCAACACCGTTCCCCTCCCCCAATTCCCCAATAAAACCTTTTTTTTTTCTTTCTTTTTCTTAAGCTGAGCCATCCTGCCACCTATTGGCAGTTCAGTGGCAGCTCCGCTCAGGCCAGGCATCGAACCGCTGTTGCTCAGAGCTCGCACTCTTGAGCCAGCTCTTAACCAACTGAGCCACTTGGCCGGCCCTCCCAATAAAATCTTCAAAAAAAAGTGTTTGAGTGAATGAATCCAATTCACACCATACATTTATTTAAAAGAGCAGTTTTGCCTGCTCTGTAGAAAGTATTCTATGTATTGACTGGGACATATAAATCTCTGCAAGTAAAGAGCTTTTTGTTATTTGACTGACATACATCATTATCCTTGAAACAACTGTTACTAGTTAGGTTTGAGAAATCGGAGATGAAAACGTGTGAGTTAAGCACTGTATACCGTTACCCATATTACCGTCATTCTGTGAGAAGGTCTTTTAAATGAATAACCCAGACCGTTCCCCAAACTTACTGTCTTTTTCTCTCTTTTCAATACCAGAGTATTACATTCACTTGTTTGGGCGGCTATATTAAGCTCTCCATTGGTTTTGGGATTGGAGGGCAAATCTCTTTATATTTTTGTTTATTGATGTACTTTTGAATACAGAGCACTCTGTAAGGCAACACAGTGCTTTGGAAGGTTATCATGACCAAACCATGGTGTAGTAAGTGTAGGTAACAGTGATTGAACAGGTTAAGGGAAAAATTAACTTTCCAACTGAAATACTGAGAGTGTGATTATGTAATTTAATAAATATATTGAAAGGAAAATTCAGTAACTTGTAATTGGATGCATTCTCCTTCCACCCAACATGGTTTGTAATGTAAAAAGTACTGCCATCTGTTGTGCTCCTTTTAGGGTCAGATTATAGAGATACAAGAGCAAGGAAGAGCCCCCCCCCCCCCAGTCAGTAGGTCAGAAATGAAACTTGTGCTTAAGTGGTTATCAGAAATGATGTAGCTGTGAGCAAACTGCTGTGATTAGTCACTAACTTAATGTTCTGAGAAGTGTTTCTCTTTTTGAAGTATTGTTTACATTTTCTTTTGAGGTGTTAAGGAGAGGGGTGAGATTAGAGGAATTTCTTGCTTATTCACAGCTAAGTAGGCTAAGAATGGGTTCAACATTCTTTTATCACTCAATTTACTTGACCTAAGTCTGGGGGGTTTGTTGGCAGTCCTAGATCATGTCTGAAAGATACTTATGTTTCGTGGTGAGAATCTACACATTGAAAGAAGGAGAGGAGAGAGGATCTTCTGCTCTTTTTTGGTACACTGTAAAAATTGGGGTGGTGCTACCGTCTACTTATCTTTTGATATATTACTTAACAGTGCTGGTCCCAAAGGTGATAACATCTATGAATGGAGATCAACCATTCTAGGGCCGCCAGGATCCGTATATGAGGGTGGTGTATTCTTCCTTGATATCACATTTACACCAGAATATCCCTTCAAGCCTCCGAAGGTAAGAAATCCCCCTGAGTTATACTAAAACATATATTTCAATGAGAGATTCTTGAAGCTTTTAAAAATGAGTTTTTAATCACAAAAAGTAGATTTGTCTTATATCTTAATGAATCGCGAAGTACATTGGAACGTACATGGAACTCTTCTTTGGGTTGCCTGTCTCGTTTGGCAGAGACCATTTCTAGGAATAAGTGCTTTGTTTGCTCATGCTACAAACAGTAAGTAGTCCCCCATTATACACGGAAGATATGTCCCAAGACCCCCAGTGGATCCCTGAAACCACGGATAGCACTGAAGCCTACATATACGGTTGACCTTTGAACAACGCAGAGGTTAGGGATAAAGTAAGCTAGAGAAAAGAAAATGTTAAGAAAATTATAAGGAAGAGAAAATACATTGACAGTATTTATTGAAAAAATCCACTAAAAGTGAATTCACACAGTTCAAACACATGGTCAAGGGTGAACTGTACTGTTTTTTCCTATAATACATACCTATGATAAAGTTTAATTTATAAATTAGGCATAGTAAGAGATTAAGAACAATAATAATAAACTAGAACAATTATAACAATATGCTGTAATAAAAGTGATGTGAATGTGGCGTTATTGAGTAAAATAAGGGTTGCTTGAACACAAGCACTACCATACCTCAACAGTCAATCTGATAACCTGGGCGGGTGGAGCGTACGGTGTGGATACTCTGGACAAAGGGATGATTCACATCCCAATTGGGATTGTGTGAGATTTCATCATGTTATTCAGAACGGCACATGATTTAAAACATGAATTGTTTATTTTGGAATTCTTTTAATTTTCTTGGACTGCAGTTGACCGCTGGTTACTGAAATCATGAAAAGCAAAACTGCAGATAAGGGGGGACTACACATTTAAAGTTACCCAGAATTAATCCCCTATTTTCCACTGAACAGAAAATTTCTAAACAGTTAAAAATGGTGTCAAAATAACCACACACTAAGAGAATCAGAAATGCCTTAAAGCCTTGGGTTCTGCTCCTTGTCATCTTCTGGTCTCACTCACATCCTTACCCCTAACTAAGCTTTAGGTTTCTCATGTGGGGTGGGTGGGACTGCCCACATCACCCGTCTCCTGGAACGCTCATCAATCTGTGATTCTCATTCACACGGTCAGAAGGAAAACCTCTTCTGGGGATGGAGTAGGCTGCTAGATAGATGTATCTATCTAATTGAAGCAGCAAGAAGTGACTGAAAGTCTGTCATTAAAAAAAAACAGAAAACTGGTCAAGTTATAGGTTACTTTTACTTTGAAACAATTTAGGGTATTTCACAAGTAAAAATCAGACCAAACAAAAGCACCCAGGGGTTATGTTTATTTGCCTCCTGCTGTGGTCCTTACCCATCATTGCTGGCTCCTCTCCTGTGGAGACTCCATTATAGTGAAGACTGTGATTTAGGTGTAAAGCGATCTGCAGGATTAATGTAAAGGTCAGAAAAAGCAGAAACAAATCGCATGTTCAGATTTGTTTTCACAGCTTTTTGGGTGTATGATCATTGTTTGCTAAATAAGCATTTTGTTTAATTGTCTTTTATGTACCCACTCTTGTACCTCAGATTGAATTTTTCTAAAGCTTACTTGGAGGCCATGTAGTACTACCAGCTAACACAAGAGGTCAGCAAACAGCTATTCAAACTTGGAAATGTAGGAAAATATTTAAAGCATTAATAACTACCAAAGATGAATTCAAGAAATATTTAAATTACCTTGCTTTTTGTTGATGGATATTACTTTTTAAATGAAATTGACAGCCTCTGAGATTGTACTAATGAACATGTTTTAATCTCAAATGTATTAGTCTCTTAACCTATCTCTTACCAGCTTTAGTTAAACTGTTACTTTATTCTTTTTAAAAACTGTTTCTTTAAAAGTTTTTAATTAGTATCATTCAGTTGGAAAAGTAATTTAGTAAAAAGCTTCATTGTTTGGTGTTTTTGTTTAACAATCTTATTTTTTAGGTTACATTTCGGACAAGAATCTATCACTGTAATATTAACAGTCAAGGAGTTATTTGCTTGGACATATTGAAAGATAATTGGAGTCCAGCACTA